AATCAATATATAATCAAAAAGTTCAAGATCTCTATTTCTAATATATCATTTACAGATTTTATAGCCACAAATTCTAACACTCAATAATGACAACTACTATAACAACAAAAACAATAACAAGTACAACAACAATAACAACAATTGACCAGTTCTACTACAAAATCTAAATCTTCTAAAACTAACAAACAGCAACAATATCATTCTAACAAATCTACTATAAAATTTACAATCCCTAGCATTAATGAAAGCCTTCTTTTAATTTAAAACTTACTTTATATTTTATACTTTAACACTTTAACTATATACCCTATATATTCTTTTATCTTTCATATACTTAATAATTTTATATACTAAATATAGCCTAGTATTTCTTTTTATACTCTATAACTTTATACTACTAAATATACAAATCTTATAATTTAGCCTTACTTTTAAATTCATTTAATTAAATACTCTATTTACTCTACATTTTATTTTATTTTTCTTAAAAAAATTTAGGTGAGTCTTTGACCACTCTAGTAGATTTAGATCGTAGATAAAGTAGTCTGAGCTTTTATTCTTGCATGTAGTTTTTACTTTTTATATTTCATATATTAAGGCTAGCAACTCTTTGTAGTTACTATGATAAAAACTATTAATAAAGATACGAGCAAGGCCTCATCTTAATACCAAAAAAAAAAATAAAAACAAATTTTTTTTTTAGCTTTAGAAATATATAAATCTTAAAGAATCTTAAAAAATTTTTAATAAAAAAATTTTTGAACAAAAACTTTAAAGTTTTATTGCCCAAAAATTTATTAATAAATTTAAAAAACTTTTATAATAAAAGTTATAAAATAAAGGTGTAGTGACGTAGAGTAGTGGTTAAGTTGTCACCTCCAAGCAGTAGGTCTAGAGTTCAATTTTCACCAGAAATATTTTTTAAAAAATAGATCTGTATACTGATAACATTTATTCAATGATCGGGTAGATATATTATCTATAACCTTGATACTACTATCTCGAAATAGGAGCTTTAGGGCAATCCAAATCCAAGGAACCAGAATATTTGAAATCTGTTTGACAAGACCTAAGCTAGGAGTAGTAAAGATTTTTGATAATATTACAGAAAACTGAAACCAAAGAATGAAGAACTACACGAATAAACCTGGGGCAAGAAGAGTCTACCAACCTGGCTACCAGAGTCGTACTGAAGAAAAAGGTTCTATGCTATAGAATTAGGAACCAAGAGAAGTAAAACCAGAAGATACTTAAAGCTTAGATACAACAACCCATCTGGGCTAACTGATTTGGTAATCAGGGAGAGATTGGTATAAAGCCAGTTAAAAATAAATATCAGGATCAGAATATATCTTGTAAGAGCAAAGAGTAGGTAATAGTAGTAATGATAAAGACCGCAAGTACTAGTTCTTGAATTGGGATGTTAGTTACTGAAAAATTCAGATAATATATATGTAGGATATAAACTGCTCTGGTAGGTTTACTATGAGGATAAAGTAGTTTTAAGAGGCTTTAGTAGCAAGAATATTTTGGAAATAATGTCTGATGGTACTAAGTTGATCAGAGGGTTTAAATAGAGGATTTATAAGCAGATTTTAGATATGCAATTAGTGAGTAACTATAGATAGAAATAGATATAGCAGAGCCCTTAATTAGGCAATAATTAAAGTTATATATGTGGCTAATTATACTCTCGTTGATGTAACAAAATCAAGGAGTTGCCTATTCGGTAACTCTGAGATTTGAATCAGAAGTTAATAAACCATATCAGACCCAAGTGATCACCTTAATATTTAAAAAAAAAGCTATAAAATATGTTTTCAAGAATATATTTTATAATAAATATATACCCCATATTATTAATAAATTATTATTTTATTTAAAAAATACTAAATACAATTAAATTTTCTAGGCAAATTTGCCTGAATACAGTTTAAGGGATATAGAAATATTAATTAAAGCTAAAAGCAATTCTATAATATATAGTATTTTTTATATAATAATATATTTTTAAATAAAAAATTTTTTCTCTATTATATCTTTATGCCAAGTTAAAAATATGTACAAACTTTGTTTGATACTATATCTTAAGAATAAAAAACAACAATTATATATTTAATACAAAATAGCAAATTTTATACTATTTTAGATACTATTAAAACATAATAACTTAGCCAATAAATAAATATTTAATAATTCTTTTATTAAAATATTTAATAAATAATACCAAATTTATTTTTAAATTTTAATCTACTTTGCAAAAATATAAATATTTTAATGTATAGTAACTGCATAGTAACTATATAGTTACTATTAAATTTCATAGTAACTATATAAACTATATAGTTAGTTACTGCGCATTAAGATATTCAGGTTTTTGTATAGTAAATGTTATATCTAAATAGTGTTTTATTTAAAGTAATCCATTAAATTCTTTTTTTGTTTAATATCTACCGCTACATATAATAAAAAAATAAAAATCTAATATACAATCTGATATAGCAAAACGAAATGTATACATTTTAATCAAACTACCTTAATGAGATAAAATGATAAGAATTGATACGATAATTCGGTAATTAAATTATTTAATTTATTTTTTTATTTTTTTATTTTTTCTTTTCTTTTTCTTTTTTCTTTTCCTTTTTTTTTAAATGCTAAATACATATAATCTTTTAAAAAGCTTAATATTGTAATAAGCATATTTTTGTTTTAATAATACAAACATTGAAAATGCTAAGTGATAAATTTCTAAATTAATAAATATTTGTTATTTTTGCAACATAGAAAAATCAAAAATACGACTGATATATATTGCATCTTCATGAATCAAATCCTTGGACAAAGTTTTGTTTTCGATTTCTCTTTTAATTTTTTTCCATCTTTTCTCTTCAGCTATGCCAAAATTATTTGAAATTTCAGAAGGATTGGGATCATCACAAATTGCATGAATCCAATTTCCCAATTCCTCGTATAATTGATATGCAGTTGGTCTATTTTCTGGTAATTGATCCCAGCATTTATTCATTAAATTAAAGTATTCTTCAGGCATTTCAGATCCGAGCTCCTCATTTATTTCGGGGCGCAAATTCTCATAACAAATTTCATAAGCCAACTGCAAATCATGCGCCCTATTAAAATGTGGTCTAAGACCGGTTGCCAAAATCCACATAATTATTCCAAAACTATAGATATCTGAAGCTTGGTTTGGTTGTTGGTTTCCCAGTATCACCTGAGGATCGATAAAAGGCAAGACACCAATTATTTTATCAGAAGAGATCGATCGGTGTGCAGGACCATTGAGTCCGACATCAGCAATTTTTGCGTCAATAGATATTGTATCATCTTCAACAAGGAGATTTCCGCCATGTAAATTTGAATGAAAGAAACCTTCAGAATGAATTCTTTCGAGACCGCCAGCAATTCCCCAAAGCATGTCAACCATATCTCTCCAGCTAATTATTCCTTTATTACTATCAAGGTAATCATAAAGATTGCCATTTTCATAGTATCGCATAACGAACATGAAGCAACCAGTTTCGTCCTTCGTTATTCCGAAACAGTCCGCCATAGAACCGCTTTGTAGACAACGATGATATGTTTCAAGCTATGAATTAGAAAGCAAATAATGACGATGAATGTATAAAAGGGAGTTTTACAATGATGCAAGACTCAGTGTTTG